CGAGACGCAGCGCTACGCCGCCGTGCTGGACGCCGTCATCGCCCGCGCCGGCCTCCTCCGCGCCGAGAAGAAGCTGCGGCCGCACCTGGCCCGGGTGAGCGGGGGCGGGTGCGGTCCCTGGGAGCCGAGGACGCAGGGCGCCGGGTCTTTCGCACGGGGGGCAAGGCAGCCGCGACCCTTGAGCCGCGCCTCCCGGGGCCCGGAAGGCAGGCGCCGGTTCCAGCCCTTTGCCTGCCCCCAGGGTCTTGTGTAGTGAGGGACGAGGGAGCCGCCGTGACCTAAAGCGGGCCGGACGGCATGTGAATTTCTGAGGCGAGTCGGGCTCAGTGCTGGGTCTTGGTCTTCCCTCCCCAGGTGCTAGTGTATGAGTTGTTGCTGGGAAAGGGCTTTCGAGGGGCTGGGGGCCGCTGGAAGCCCCTGCTGAGCCGGCACCAGGCGAGGCTGAAGGCCGAGCTGGCGAGGCTCAAGGTTCGCCAGGGCGTGAGCCGGAACGAGGACTTGCTGGAGGCGGGGTCGAGGCCCGGCCCAGGTGAGCTGGAAGCCAGAGGGTAGTACTGGCAGGCCGCCGAAGAGAGGCTTGTGTTCCTGCTCGCTTACCGGTGTTGCTCTCTAGTCTCCCAGGTGCCTCGATTTGTGAGAGTGAACACACTCAAGACCTGCTGTGGCGACGCCATTGATTATTTCAAGAGGCAGGGTTTCTCCTACCAGGGCCAGGCTTCCAGGTGGGAGCTCAGCGTCTTGTCTGGCTGCCCTCATCCAGGGCAGTGTCTGGGGGCCACAGAGAAGCAGGAGTCTGGGAAGAGAGGTGCCGGGTGGCAGTGACTACTCTTCTTGGGTTTTCCTATTTCTAGCAGTTTCTCCTATCTCTTCAAGGGCTGATGGCCAGCCCCACCCCACTGATGCTCCCAGGACTTTTGTTCTACCTTTTTTTCCCCACACGCTGGGGATGGAACCCAGGCCTCAGACGTGCTAGGCGGGTGCTCTTGCACTGAGCTGCGTCCCCAGCACTTAATAGCATTTAAAATATTGCTTGTGATAAACAGTGCAAGTGGAGCCTGGGGAGGAATTCAGGAGGTGAGTTAATGATTCACATTCCCCGCAGCCTCGAGGACTTGAGGGCCCTTAAGGGGAAGCACTTTCTTCTGGACCCCTTGTTGCCAGAGCTGCTTGTGTTTCCTGCCCAAACAGATCTGCACGAACACCCTCTGTACCTTGCAGGTCATCTCATCTTGCAGGACAAGGTAGGGAGTGGGTGAGGGAAGGATGTGGGAGGCCAGCCCCAGCTCCTATTCACCCAGCTGTTGTGCTCGCTGTCAGGCCAGCTGCCTCCCAGCCACACTGCTGGCACCGCCACCAGGTTCTCATGTCATTGACGCATGTGCTGCCCCAGGCAACAAGACCAGTCACTTGGCAGCTCTTCTCAAGAACCAAGGGTAAGTGCCAAGGTCAGATGGGGTCTGGTCTGATCCTGCACTTTGTAGGAATAAAGAAATTTTTATTCAAATGGCTGAGCTGGTGTTATGAATCAGTGGTGGTGTGCTCGCCTAGCAAGCATGAGGCCCTGGGTTCGATCCTCAACACCACATAAAAGCAAAGGTATTGTGTCCACCTACAACTAAAAAATAAGTATTAAAAGAAACTATATTGAAGGCTGAGAGGACAGACTTGAGGCGGTTCATGGTTTCCCCAGGCAAAGCTTTCCAGGGGTTGCAGGTGTGAGATAAGGTTCCTAAGCCTGTTATCTCAGAGACCCCCTGAGACACTTAAGATATTCTTGTTTCTGTGTCCTGACTTGACATGCGTGGTGCTGCTGGGTGTGTCAGAGCTATGGCTCTCCCTCAGATGCTCCATGAATTCCCAGATCACCCCCTTCTGCCCTCTTCCCTAGAAAGATCTTTGCCTTTGACCTGGATGCCAAGCGGCTGGCATCAATGGCCACTCTGCTGGCCCGGGCTGGTGTCTCGTGCTGTGAGTTAGCTGAGGTTGACTTCCTGACTGTTTCACCCACGGACCAGCGTTATGATCGCGTCCAGTACATCCTGCTGGATCCTTCTTGTAGTGGCTCTGGTGAGATGGGGAGAGTGTGGCTGTGGGATACCCCACCCCAGAGCTGAAGCACACCAGTTTGGTTGGGTCTTGGTTCTGACTCAATAATGACCTTAGGCCTGCAGACAAAATGTTCTCATTTATCAAGTAGGATCTCAGCAGCCTGGGAAACTGATCAAAACGCTCTTCTCCCCAGGGATGCTAAGCAGGCCACTGGAGGAGCAGGGGTCAGGCACACCTAGCCAGGAGCGTTTGCGTGCCTTGGCGGGCTTCCAGCAGTGGGCACTGTGCCATGCGCTCTCATTCCCCTCCCTGCAACGCTTGGTCTACTCAACATGCTCCCTTTGCCAGGAAGAGAATGAAGATGTGGTCCGAGACGCCCTGCAGCAGAACCCGGGGTTCAGGTGACGGCCTCCCCAGGGCATGGAAGGGTTGCCGAGTGGCCCCTGGAGCCTGATCCCTCCCCTCCTTCCTTGCAGGCTAGCTCCTGTCCTGCCCTCCTGGCCCCACCGGGGTCTCAGCACCTTCCCAGGTGCTGAGCACTGCCTCCGAGCCTCCCCTGAGACCACGCTTACTGGTGGCTTCTTCATTGCTGTGTTTGAGCGGGCAGAGGTGCTAAGGTGAGGGAGCCAGGGGTGGCCTGCTTAGGAGGTATGGGGTGACTCGGGCACAACTACCTGACCTGTCCTAATCTTCCAGCTCAGCCTCCCAGGCAGAAGCTCTGGCACCAGAACTTGCACCCAGCCCAGCCCCAAAGAGAAAGAGGAGACGGCGAAAGGCTGATGTGCAGGCTGCAGGTGCAGGTGCAGCTGCTGAGGCCACCTGTGGGAAGTGAGGCTGCCCAGGCCGCCTGTAGGCTCCACAGGACTGCTGTTAGTGCCAGAGGCAGCTGGCAGGAAGGACAGAGTGGAGGGTCCTAGTTATTCCCTTGGGTCCCTCCCTGGGGGCTGCCTGCATAAATAAAAGGCAGAATACAGGCATCTGATAGGTCACAGTTTTTTATTCGTAATGACATAAGCAAGGAGAAAAATCTCACATTCATACTAAAAAGTCCAACTAGACAACAGGAATTACACCTTTATTTGTAATAGAAAGTCCAGCCTCCTGTTCTGTCCAGTGCAGAACATGTACATGTACGCACTCACACCCAGGCTAGAGCAGGCCCCCCCCTCTTCAAGGGGTTCCTGGCCTGCTGTGGAGCGGAGGTGAACTAGCTCAGACTAAAACTAAGAGGTTCCGCCCCACACTAGGTGCAGGCAGAGGCTCCATCCCTAGACCTGTGCCCCACCCTGACGCCTCCAGTCCTAACAGGTATTTGGGACTTGAGGTCCTGGCTCCTTCCTCAGCCCCCCACACAGCTAGGCCAGTAAGTGCCCAGCCAGCTCCCATTGGGGTGGAGGCAGTCCCCTGCCACAAGACATTCAGCCTCAGTCACAAAGGGGGAGGGGACTAACTACAGCTACATCACATTATTTATAAAATAAGAATTACACTTATATAACATGTCTAGGAGGAGCTCCAGTCCCTCAGGAAAGCTGCCTGGGTCAGCATTTGAGCCCCTCCTTCACACAAGCATAACCTAACTATGCAGCTAATTCTAATCAACAGCATTTATACTTAACCACCTCAATGAACCAAGCTTGAAGGAATTTAAAAGGCAATTTAGCTTAAATACAAAAATAAATTTTTATTTTGTTAAAAAATGTTTAAATATTTTCTTTTAATTTAGACACACGCATTCATACTTCTTCCAAAGAGGATGGGCATGGCAGCAAGGCTCTAGGGCCTGGGGAGTGTAGTTTGGGAGCCAGGGGAGAAGGGGAGGGAGGGAAGGGTTGGCAGGGGTCCTGTTTAGGAAAGAACTAGGGTCTGACTTCAAGGAAGGTTCATTGGTGTACACTGGACATACTGGGAGTGGCCTTGCCTAGTGAGGTCAGGAGGTGGGAGAGGAATGTTGGAAGGGGAGGGTCTTTGTTTCCCTAAGGCCCCATCCCCTGGGCTGCCAGCCCTTAAAGTCTAACCACCACTGGAAAACTCAGGAGCCAGCACTGGCTCTCAAGTGGTGCCACTTTGATTGGCCAGGCCAAGAGGCTTGAGACAGTTAGGTCCGGCACTACCAACATGCCGCCACACATACAATTCAATTCTTCCTCCAAACTCGATTCAAAGAGCAACAGACATGGGCTTCAGACAGTGACACAGGACAAGGCGTAGGGTGGACAATCCCGGAGGCAGAGGGTGGCCAGTGAGGCCAGCAGGGGGAGGAGGCAGCAGAAAGCAGCTGTGGGCATCCTGCCTGCTCCAGAGCTTCTCCTGCAGCAAGGGTCTTGCGCTGGCTCTGCCAGACTAACAGTCTTGAGCCACCAAGCTTTTAGGGGCCAAACTGGCAGAGGGCAGGAGACTGGATTCAGACCTGGCAGGGAGAAAGGGGGCAGTGGGAGCAACACCCACTGGGGTCTCCAAGGCAAAGCTAGATTCAAGGTCATTTAAAAAGGAATCCTGCAGGGAACCAGTGAGGGACAAAGCAGCAAGTAATGGGGAAATAAGAGTCCCCAAAAGGGATCAGAGGAAGAGAACCACTTCTTATAGCCTAGCCAAGCAGGTAAAGTTTAGGGATAATCCATTTTCCCCAATCCCATGAAACACAACAGAGATTCAAGTGGGTGCATCGCACACCCTCTGGCAAGGATGGTCCTGGGGGCGGGGGAGGTGGGAAGGGAGGCTACCTGACTTAAGTGACACAATAGACGAGCCAGGGAAGAGAGCGGACAGTATGTACAGATGTTTCTTTAGTTCTCCAGCCTCACCAGTGCAACTGTTCAAGTACAGGTTTCGGGCTTTAGCCCTGCCCTTGCCTGCCCCCTCCCTGAGGTGCCCACTCCCTCCAGAAGGGAAAGGGCCCCAGGGCTGCCACCACCTCCCTTGGTGGCTGAAGCCAGAGATCTAGGATAGTTCTGTTTTACGGAACTTGAAGGGTCAGAGGCTCTTTCTAGCAGGTGCTGAGGTCCAGATTTGGGCAAGGGCTGGGAATGGGGACAGGACAGAGGCTACTTCTTGCGGTTGTGCTGCCTTCGGGCCTGCAGTCGCTGTCGAGCCCCTGGGGTCTTGGATCCCGCACCAATGGAAAACGAAGGGGCTGCTGATCCTGGAAAGATTCAACAAGACCTTATTAGGTAGCTGCTCCCAGAGCACATGGTTTTGAGGCATCAGCTCTAAGTCAACAAAACGGTGGGGACTTGAACAGGGTCCCCAGATGCCATGGCAGCCCCATGAAGACGCTATTAAAATGCAAAACCTCCAAAAGTCCCATAAGGAGGCCCACAAATCCATTTTTACTTGACTTCCCCAAGTGTCCTGGGACTGTCTTCTCAACTCTGCTGTCCAATTCCTGCTGGGTGGTGCTGGACCCCCAGGAGCTGTCTCCACAGGGGCCTGGAGAGCCAGGAACCTTGCCGTACACCCCAATTCCTCCTCACAGAGGAGAAAAGCAGATGACACTGGCAGTGGAGAGATGGCTACTTACCGAAAGGCCCAACTCCAACAAAGCCCTGGGTGGGTGTTGAGGAAGCCCCAAAGGAGAGGCTGTTGCCCACTGTGCCCACTCCAGCAGTCGGGGTGCTCTGCCCAAAGGTGGGTGTGGAGGTGCCTAGAACAGACAGCAGAGGACTGTAGAGACTGAGCCAGGGTCAGAGGAAAGAAAACAGATGGCAGAGAAACTAGGCAGAGGGTCTGCTCTTTGCAGGGGTGCTTCCCACAGGACCTGCCAGCCCTGGTTCACACCACCATAGCCAACTGTAGTGGTCACACTTGGAGCTCAGGTGAGCCAGCAGGCCCTCAGAGCCCCACTTTCTGTGCACACAGCCCAGGCATGCCATGCCTCTTCTGTTCTCCTGCCAACCTGCCCTCTGACAGCCTGACTCACCTCACTCCAGCGCACCATCCTGTTGGACCATCTGATCTTCCCAGGTGCTCTGGAACTCTCTCTGCAGGGCCCTGTTTGGCCCAGCATGGCTGCCCTGCCCACTCTTCTCTCCCTGCCACAGAGAAAGCTGCCTCTCTGGTACGGTGTCAGGCTGGAGGAGGGCAGGACCTTCCCTGCTCCCCAGAAGCTGTGTCCAGACCACTTCTCTTCCCTGCTCCTTCAATATCATCAGTCTTGCTCCTGAACATCTATCAACTGCCAGATGTCCTCTTTTATTCAGCGGGCCCTTGGCTCACTGTTGCCCTCTCCATCACAAACCATGGTGACTTTGCCAGCTCTCAGGATGATTCAGGATTCCTCAGAAACCCAATGACCTCCACCCACCCACCCCTACATTCACTTGTCAACTGCTCCAGCTCACGGTCCCCACAACCACCTTGCACCTTCTCCTGCCAGAGACCTGAAGTCCACTGCCCTCCTGCTGCATTCCCCCACAGGCTGGAGATTAGCAGCTACCTGCCTGTTTTAACCTCAACAGCCGGGAGCTGCTGGAAAAGACACAGTGCTGACTTGAAGTTCAGGCTTCTCTTCTAGAGCACTGGCCTGAACTCATGCCTCATGCATGCTGGGCAGTGCTCTCTCCCACTAAGCCACATCCCAGCCCTTTTTGTATTCGCCCAGGCCGGACTCCAATCTCTGACCCTCCTGCCTAGTCACTAGGATTACAGATGACCACCATGCCTGGTATTTCTCTATTTAATCAAGGACACAGAAGCTCTGAGGACAAAAATTCACCTTCCAGATGGCAAATAAGACCACTTCATTCTGCTGCAAATTCTACAATTTCCTTGATACTTAAAATCCAATCACTGGAGCCCGAGGTCACCTTTGCCTGTCTCAGAACCTCTCTCACACCATCTTCCATCTGTAGCCAAGCTCGACTCCCTCTGCCCCCAGGGCCCTAGCACCAGCCAGGCTCACAAGCTCCCCACCCACATGCCAGTCCTTCTGTCACAGACATCCCTCAGAAGAAATGGACTGCTCAGAAAGGCTTTCCATGACCACTGAAAGGCACTAGCGAACACTTACTGCCACCTGCAATTTACTCGTCTTTACCAACAAGTTCCTTTATCCAGCATCAGGCCTAGCAGACCACACCCACTCCTGATCTTACCTCCAAACACAGGTTTGCTCTCAGGTGTGCCAGCCACATTGAAGGCAAAGGGTGTGCTCTGGCTGGGTGTGCCCAGGGCATTCTGACTCAAGCCCCCACCAAAGGGGGTGGCGGTTCCTGTGGTCCCACTCTGTCCAGCTCCAAAACTGAAGGCCCCAGAGGTGGAGCTGGGGCCTGGGGCAGCCGCACTGAGCCCGAAAGCCCCACTGGCAGCTGGTGCTGCAGATCCCCCGAACGTGAAAGGGGACGGAGTTGAGCTGCCAAACACTGAGCCACTGGTCCCACTGGGGGTGGTCTGGGTGGTAGCTCCAAAGCCAGAGGTGGTGGCTGCACCGAAGGAGAAAACAGGCGTCGTGCCTCCAAAGGCTGGCTGTGTGCTGGCAGGGGTGCCGAAGGCTGAGGCGGTGGTCTTCAAGCCAAAAGCTGACTGTGTTGAGCTGCCAAAGGCAGGCTGGGCCGTCGCTGGCGCTGCAGACGGGGCAGGGGCTGCAGAGTTCCCAAAAGTGAACGAGCTGCCAAAGCTTGGAGCAAGGGCTGGCTTGGAGGACCCCTGCTGCTGCCCATCAGCAGCCCCAAATGTGGGCTGGGGGGTGGCCACTGGATATGCTGGGAGGGAGGGCTTGGCACCGGAGCCAAAGGGAATGCTGAACGCGGGGGTGGTGGTGTTGCTGAAAGTCAGGGTGGGCTGGCTGCTGGTGGTGCAGGCTGAAGTGGCAAGGGAACTGCCGAAGCCACTGAAGCCAGCAGTGCTGTTGCTGCTGCTGCTACTGGTGGTGGCCGCCTCAACAGCACCGGGCAAGGACTGGCCAAAGGTAGTGGCTGCTGTGGATGTTGGTGTGGCAGTGGATTTGCCAAACTGGAATACAGACCCCACGGCTGGGGTGAAGCTGGCGGCAGAGGCAGGGGGTGCTCCAAAGGGGAAGGGCTGAGAGGCGGGGGTCACGCTGCCAGTCGTGCTGCCACCAGCGCTGGCCACGCTGCTGACCCCAAAGCAAAAAGCAGGTTTGGAAGCAGAGTCTGTGGATGTGCTGGCAGTGGTGGCTGGAGCCACGGCCGAGGTGGCAGTGGCCAGGCCAGCAAAGAGAGGGGCAGCTGGGGCTGCAGCAGCTGTTGTTGGCTTGAAGGAAAAGGGAGCAGGCAAGGGCACAGATGCAGGTGGCCCCAGGTCACCAAAGATGGGCTTAAAAGTTGGGGTGGCAGTACTGGTGGTCATGGGCTGGGTGGAGCTAGAAACAGCTGCAGCTGTGACAGATGTGACAGAGGGGCCTTCGCTCTCACTTTTAGGTGGTGTCATGAAAATGGGCTTGAACATGGGAGAAGCAGAAGACGTGGCTAGGGTGGCTAGGGCAGCTGGGGTGGCCGGAGAAGCTGGGGCGGCAGGTGTGGCCGGAGCAGTCGGAGCAACCGGAGCAACCGGAGCGGCTGGAGCAGCCGGAGCAGCTGGGGAAGGGGCAGAGGGCATGCTGCTCGACATGCCGAACAGCCCACTCTGCTTGGATGTGGGGGAGGGGGTAGGCGGGCCTGGGGCTTTGGCAGATGTGTCGGTCTGAAGGGCTGGAGGTGACTTGGTGTTCACGACAGGTGCTGTGGAGGAGGCAGGGACCAGC